AAAATAAAAAAGACCCCCCCCCCCCCCCCCCAAGGAAAGAAGTAAAAACATTTGGACTTAGAAAGGTAGATACATCGACAAAGTTTGGCCGAAAAAATTAAACAAGCTCTTCAGATACCGACTTTGACTATTAGTTGAAAAAACATGCACTTTAAATGCCCCCCGCCCCTCCGCCCCTCCCCCACCATCCATCCCCACCCTGTAATAGGTATCGCCTTTTGAACGTATGTCCACTTACAGGATTAAATGAATTATGCTACTACATGAGAAATTTCTGCAATTTTATTGGCTGAGAGTAGTGGTATTTCGGCTTAATCGGAATTACCTACATGTGATAACTACAAACCTTTTGCAGGTAGAAGTGTAAACAAATAATAGCCTGATTTGTAGGTGATATTTGGCATGAATACCACTTGTGGTATTCCATAATTGTCTCAAACTTCACTCGCCTAACGGCTCGAAATATCACTCGTGGTATTTATGCCAAATATTACTAGTAATCATGCTATTAGCTATCCTAATTTGTTAACATCGCCGCTTGTAATTAAATCCAACCATTAAGGTGTATGCAAGTACAAACAGTACAATCGGACTTCTTATAAAACCTTTTGTACTGCTTTGATGTAGAAAATCAGCTGTGTTCAAACATCTTATATCTTTGGCCCCAGTTGTTCAAAAGTCAGAGAGTGCTTAATCCACTGAATTACGCCCTATTCAATACATATGTGTTAGGGAAACGAACTGCAGTAAACGGTGGATAGCGATTTATCCAGTGGATAACATTACCCAACCTTTAAACAACTAGACCTTGGTTTGGTGTAAATTGAAATACAAAATTATTTTCATTAATGCCAGATTTAAGTACTGCTTAATTCACCATATCAAAGTAGCACGTTACATATCCCACTATTATGGGAAAGACTGTCACTATCATTGTTCAGTAACCTGTGCGGTCATTTAAGGAAAAAGTGAAATTAAAAACATTACATCCTTACATCAAATGTAGCTTTGAAAGGTTAATGAAATCCCTCAGCTTATAAACCTTGTCACGGTTTTCGACGCCATCTCGACGAGTAGGTAGACGAGTGAGAAATTACAGTGTTTGTATGAGAATCTAATGTCGAATAGTTTCTATAAAACGGTTGTTCTGAAAAAAATATGACTTGTAAACTAAAGCTCCAAAATAAAGGATTGTACTAAAAAATTTTTGGGGTGTACCTGTGCTTCATTTTATCTCCAAAGGCTTGCTTTACGTTTTCCATATATTTGTCAGTAAATTTTCTCGGGACTTTCTTACAGACAATTGTATAGAATTTTTTTAAAAAAAGGTTCTAGGTCTTCTAGCGCATATCAGGCCCTCAATTTTTTTCAGTAGATTCCTTAGGAGTGAAGCTTTAGTTCACAATTCTTTTTTTTTTTTTTTTTTTTTTTTTTTCA